CGGGAGGCTGCGCGGGGGACGCGGGCCGGGACTCGAGACGCGGCGGCCGCGGTGAGTGAGCGCGGGGGAGCCGGGCAGGGGCGGAGGCTCCGTGAGCAGCGCAGAGGCGCGGGGAGGGTCCCGGAGAGCGAGGCGCGTCCCGTCTCCTCCCTCCGTCACCGTCACAGTCGTCAGTCTCCCGTCCCCTCCACCGGCGTCCTGTCCGCCGAGAGCCCCGGCCGCGCTCCCCGCCGGTGACAGCAGTAGCAGGATCGATAGCCCTCGTGGGGAGCGCTGCGCACCGCCCAGGCGCTGGTCCCCTCCGTGGCTGCGGCCCCGCTTCGTCCCGAGCACAGCACCTCGCGCTCGAACGTCGTCCGCTTTGAGAGGCCGCCCTGGCCCGCGCCCTGGTAAGTGGCGTCCCCGGCAGGCGCGCGTCCCGCATCCCCCTCGCGTACTCTGTTTTTCCCCAAATCACTCAACCCCGCCTGGAACGTTGTTGGCTTCCTGTACCACGTCCTCCCACCCCAGCTCGGACGCTCGGCGACGGCTGGGACTTTGGTCCACTTGCGGCAGTGCCTGGCACTTAGCGGATGCGCAGAAGTAGTTCAGATGGACTGTAATGATCCCCACTTTACAGGTGAGGAACTAGAGGCCGACCTGCCCAAGGTCACACCAGCCAACCTGGGCCCCCACAAGCCACGTTCTTGACCCCTGGCTGCTTGGCCTTCAGTCTCCCCCGACCCTGTGACCTAGGGCAGGTGGGGGTGGGTTGGGGCAGTGGTGGGGCTGTCGACTGGAGTGGCTCTGGCGGCCCCAGACCATCTGGTGCGCGACGCCAACTGAGAGAGAGAGCAGCTGTTTTGTTGGTCAGATTAGCCCCAGCGCCTGCTTCCTGGCTTCCCCTACCCTACCCCTGGACAAGCCGGGATCCACCAAACTCCAAGGGTGGACACCCCGCTTACTTGGGGGAGGGGAGTCTGAGCAGAAGGGCAATGCCATGGCCAGGGGAAGAGCCCCAGAGACCTGTTTGCTTTCTAGCTCCCTGCACTTATGCTGTGTGATCTTGGGCAAGTGACTTTGCCTCCCTGAGCCTCCATTTGCTGAGAGCAGGGTCTGCAGGCTGGGTGGTCTCCCAGGGCGCTGAGGTGGGCCCTCCCTATAGCATAGCTCGACTATGGTGCAGTGGAGCAGAGGGCCTCCATGCTTGGCCTGCGAAGCAGGTCAACCTGTCCAGTCCCCTGTGTCTAAGCAAGGACACCTGGAAAACCTTAGAGGAGCAAGAGGAGAGGCTCAGCCTCATTCCCAACGTGTCCTGTTAGGAAGATGCTGGCCCGCTGGCCCAGCCAGGCTCCTGTGCAAAACCTCGCTAAACAGATCTGGTCCAAGGAGATAAGGGGGTGTTTGTGTCTGGAATGGTTAGCAGGTCTGTTTCTAGGGTTAAGGTGAACCCTCTGGTCCCCTGGGAACCCCCACTCCAGTCCTGGGGCTGAAATGCCCTGTGCCCCTCAGTTCTGGGAGGGAGGCTGGGGAAGGGAGAAAGTTCAGTTTCCAGGGAGGCTAAGGACCACGGGGATGGGGGATGGTGGGCGGGCTGGGGCCCTTAAGAAGGCCTGTGGCCTGGCTCCCCACCCCCACAGCCAGAACACTGGGGAGACCAAAAGCTGCAGCCTGGGATCTGGAGGAGGAGGCTGTTGGCAGCCGCAGACACAGCTGTCTCCGCATGTGCATGCGTGTGTGATAACCCATGTGGCTGCCTTCCATCTGACATGCTTAGCGCCTGAGGGGCTGTGTCAGCACCAGCAGGATGTGAGCTGCCTCTTGCTCGCTCCCTCCTCCCAGCTCTCCGTTATCGCTTTGCTGGGGTCTTTCTTCCCAGCCCGGTCCTCCCACTTCTGCCCATGGCTGCCTGTTCGTCCTCTGTTTTGCTCTCTCCCTTCTGCACCCATTTGGTCTTTGGTCTTTGCCTCCTCTCTCCCCAACCAAGGGCAGTCCCAGCCGCATGATGTGATTGTGAAGTTAAAAGGTGGTTTCACTGGAAGTCCCCATCTCCTTACCTTGAACAGGCTCAAGTAGCTTTTGTGCCAGCTGAACATCTAAGTTTTCTTTATTTAAACATAAGCTGGGGCTGGCCTGGTGGCGCACTGGTAGAGTGTGGCGCTTGGGAGCACGGCGGCGCTCCCGCCGAGGGTTCGGATCCCATATAGAGACCGGTCTGCTCACTGGTTGAGCACGGTGCGGACGCGACACCGAGGGTTGCAATCCCGTTACCGGTCACGAAAAAAGACAAAAAGGAAAAAAAAACAAAAACATAAGCTGTACAATAGGTAAAGGACATGGTGTGAAAAATGATCAGGGTCAAAAAGTGGAGGGTGTGACAGCCCAGAGAAGCAGGAGTCCCCTCCGTATAGGAGGGGACCCCAGTAAGGCAGATCCTGCTGTCCTCTAAAGCTCTCTCCTGAACAGCAGGTTTTGGGGTCCCCTGTCCCTGTGAGACTGTATTTATTGAGCATCGGCTGCAAGCTTGGCTGGCATTGTCCTGGGTACCTGCTCCTCCATTCAGTTCTTGGTGACTCCTCACATGATCCCAGGTTTGCAGATGAGGACATGTGAGCTCAGAGAGGTGAGGCAGCTTGCCCAAAGTCACAGGGGATTTGATTTGGTCTCTTTGATCCCAAGTCAGTGATTACAAGTAGGCTGGTGAGAGAGAGAGAGCCCACCAGAATGGGGGATGGAGGTGGGTGACTAAGTTGGCCCCAGGAAAAGGAGCTGAGTCCTTGGAGACCTCGGCAGAGGCATCCAGCCATTCTTTCCTGTAATTGGTCCACTGATGCATTTATTCCACATTCATTGAGCACCAGCTGTGGTCCTGGGCTCTTAAGGGGGAATCCCTGTCCTTGAGGACAGTCTAGTAAGGGAAGTTTAATCCTCTCCTCACTAGTGGATCTGGGAAAGGTGTCCCGGGGAAGACCAGAACCTGGACTGGGCTGGGGGCGATGCTCCTCAACTCCCTGGGCCAGTTGTCCACCTTCTCTACACCCTGACTCAGCACCAGGGCACTGTCTGGTTGGGTTCTGATCTTCATGATAGTCAAGTGGCTGGGAGATTGGGGAAGGGACTGGAGTCATGCTGGGTCGAATGAGCCAGGCGCCTGTCAAGCAGGTCCGCAACCTCGTGAGCTCTGGCCATCCGCTTGTGGCCACCCTTGTAGACTACAGAACTCCTGCCCTAGAACCTGCTATGGCTCCCCACTACCCATAGAACAAAGCCCAAATTCCCTAGGCTGGCATTTAAGGCTGATCCCAAACTGGATCTGGACTGCTGCTCTGGTAAGATCTATGGCCCCAGCTGCTTTCCTTCCTTTGTGCCTCTGCAGACTCTGTTCTTGCAGTTTTCATAACCCTCCTTTTTGGTGGTACCTTCCTAGGCTTCCCTCCCTTCCCCCGGCACTTTGTACAAGTTGGTTACCAGTCCCAGACCCCTGCTTCCACCCCCTGGGGGCAGGGCTCATGTCAGATTCTGCTCTGCAACCCAGCCTGGAGCACCGTGGTGCTCAGTGATTGCTGAGTGAATGAACAAGTGACCAGGGCATGAAGTGCCACACCTGTCAGATCTTTACCCAGACCTCACGTCCTCAGGAAGGGCTCCCTAGCTACAATCACCTCCCAGCCTGATGCTTCAGATCCTCTTCCCTGCAACACTGTCCAGCATAGAACATGTCTTATTATTTAGTTTAATATCTTTCTCCCCAGTGAGAATGTCGGCTTCATGAGGGCTGGCAGAGGTTTCATCATTTATTTCAGGGCTATGTCCCCAGTGCCCAGGACATTGTGGGGCACATAGCAGGTGCTCAGTAAAGATTTGTCAAATGAATGAACGAGAGAATGAACAAACGAACTCGCCAGCTTCTGATGGGAGAGCATCGCGGCTTGCCTGCCTGGGGACCAACCTTCTCCCACTGCCCTTTGCAGCTTCTCTCCTGTGGAGCTCGCAGCCGGGCACCCTGGGGGCCATGCAGAAGGCTGGGGCAAGGGGCCGGAGGGCCTCCGACTGCGGGCCTGCCCCTTATCGGCCCAGGTGCATCACCAAGTTTGCCCAGGTGGGTGGGGCTGCCCCATCCGGGTGTGCTCTGGTGGATGGTCATTGGGTGGCAGGCCCTGGGGGTGGGAGGAGCAGTGGGTCAAGGACCTATTTCCATTTCTTCCTTCCCTGACCCGGGCTTGGGGGTGAGTGTGTGCACACATGAGGAGATGGGACCTCAGAGGCCTTGAGTGGCTTAACCAGGGCCACCTGCTGGAAAGTAGCAAGGCCTGGCCTCTAAGTACCATGCTGTGTCGCTGTCCACAGCTCGCCTGGCAGAGCAGAGTGTGTGTTTGGGGAGAATTTGGAGGATGGGGGTCAGGAGCCATGGGCCTGACTACCCTTCCTCATTCCCTCCCACCCCCTGCCAAGTAGTACGTGGGCTCCTTCCCCGTGGACAACCTGGGCACACAGGAGAGCGTGTGGCTGGTGCAGCAACAGCTGTGGGCACTGAAGGTGGGTGGGCTGGGGGCTGGGGAGGGCACATCCCTGGTGGGGATCACAGCCTCCGAATGACCCCTCAAACCAGATACACTCCCCTCCCAATCAGAGAAAGGGCAAGTGAGGCCCAGGGAGGGGCAGGACCAAAGGTACTCGGAGAGGTGGTCTGATCAGGGCCCACGCCCAGGCTCTGGGAGCCCTGTCACTTATGCTTTTCTCTGGGCCATCTGTGCCTGTGCCCCACAGCTGGAAGCTACAGATGGGAGATGTGAGGGACGGTTGTAACGTTGCCAGCTGTGGCCCTGGCTGGGGGCATTTTCCCGGAGCCATTGATGCTTTCCCAGCTCCTGGGGGCACTGGCCGGGACTCAGACCCTGGCAGGGGCAGTGAGGTTGGCTGACCAGCCCTTGGTGATAGTTCTGAGGCTGGGCTGGGCAGGGCCAGGCCTGGGAGATAATGCCTGTCCCCACCAACCCTCTTCCACCCAGGACTGTCCCCGACGCCGGGCCGTCATCCTGAAATTCAGCCTTCAGGGTCTGAAGATCTACAGCGCGGAGGGTGAGGTAGGAGCCTGTGTGGGTGCAGGTGAGACCTGGACAGGGACAGGTGTCCCCTCCCTCAGCTCCAGCGTTTCCTTGGAGCCTCCCTGGCGTGCCAGTCTGCTCTGGGCTTTTGGACTTTCTTGCTCCAAGGCTCTCCCATCTCTTCTCTGCAGGCCACCTCCTGGCCTGAGCATCAGGAACATCCAGCCCTGTGACATTTTTGAAGGTCCCCTCCCCAGCTTTGGCCAGTGGGCTATGGACAGCCTCTCATGGCTGTTGGGGGGCAGACTTGGGCGCCCGGTTGGGAGCTCCTGCCTGGATGCCCATCCTCCTCCTGCTGTTCCTCATCCTCCTCCTGCTGCAAGCCAGCGTTGGCTGAGCGCCAAGTGCATGCCAGACTGTGTACCCCAAGTGCGGGCACCACTCACCTAAGACCACAGTGCACATGGCGTCCCAGAGCTGGGCATGGCAGGGCCCTGGGTCAGGCCCTGTGCCACTTGCATGCAGTCTCACTGACCCACACCAACAGCCCTATCAGAGAGGTGCTAGTATTCTCTCCACTTGACACCTGTCACAACAGGGGCTCAGAGGACTGTACTCACCCACACAAGTCACTTGGACAGTGACGGGCAGAGCCAGGATTCCAATCCTGGTCATCTCATTCCGGAGACCAGGCATGTAATCTCAGCATCTGCTGCCACCGCCTTTCTCTGAGACCCCAGCAGGCTGGGAATGCTCGGCCCCTCAGTTCCATAACATGGGGGTGATGATTCCCAACCCCCAGGTTGACAGCAGGTGGGCACTGGGGATCCCAAGCCCAGTGGCCATGGGAAGGATGAGGGTTCAGGATTGGACAGGCCTGGAAGAAGGGAGGAGCTCTTCACCCCAGGAGCTGGGTGGCCCTGAGCTGGGCACGCAGGCTGGGGGGCGGGCCTGGGAAGCCTATCAGCAGGGGTGTGGGGCCTGCGGGCTGGTACGCACCAGGCTGGCTCCACCGAAGACCATCATGCCCGCTGCCTCCACAGATGCTCCTAATGGCTCACGCCCTGAGGCGCGTCCTCTACTCCACCTGGTGCCCAGCCTACTGCCAGTTTGCCTTCATCGCCCGAAACCCACGGAGTCCAGCCAGCAAGCTCTTCTGCCACCTCTTTGTGGGCAGCCAGCCTGGAGAGGTATCTGGGGCCCAAGGCAGGGGACCACCATTGAAGCTGGGGGTTGTGTGTGCTGGGCAGCAGGGACAGAGGCCTTGAGGGCTTAGCCAGGCTGGCCCGAGCCCCCTCTGGGCATGTGCCCCTCACCGCATCAGCTGCCTGTGGGGCTCTGCCCACCGAAGGCTCCACAAAGCAAGTCAGTGGCCTCAGCATCCCCAGGGTCTGGAGGGGGGAACCTGGCCACGTACTTAGGGATCGGAGGTCCCACTGCCTGGCCTTTGCTCTGCCTGGATTGCCCCTCCCCTTCTCATCCTGGCACATTCCGACTGGCCCTTCAAGGTTCAGCCCACGTATCTGTGAAGCCTGCCTTGACTCCTCTGGACTGCCCCTCCCTCTGGGGTCCTGTGACACAAACCACACTCTATCATCAGTCTATCCTTAATTAAGACACTTGAGTACTTTGAGAGTAGAGGCTGGGTCCAGGTCGTGAGCTGTTCCACTGGTTGGCCCTGTGCAGTTGGGTGGTGGCGAGGGGGTGGGCAGGTGCATCTGGGAGGTCAAAGCCAGTATGATCATCGTAAATGACAGGGCCTTGGCAGCCAATCGTTTGACAAGCAGAAACTGGGTATGGTTCCGTCCAGCAGGAGTTTGCTGTCACCCCCATATGTCAAGCCCCATGCTGGATATTGGGGTGATCAGTGGCTGAGACATGGCTCTTGATCTTCTGAAGCTCCTGGTTCCAACATTTTGGGTCGGGATGGTGTGTGTGGTGGGTAGAATGTGCTGGGCCTGCGCTGGGAGTTTTCTGTGCTCTACTTCATTAACTCCTCAAAGGAGCACAAGGAGATGGGGATGAGGAGACTGAGAGAGGTGTCAGGCTCTGCCCAAGGTCACACAGCAGCTCCTAAGTGACGGAGCCAGGATTGGAATTCAGGTTCTGACTCCAGGGCTTGGGCTCTTAGCCACTCTAAGAGGGTGCAGACACAATGCACAGGGTGAGGGTGCTAAGCTTAGGGGTAGGAGAGCATTTGGTGCATGGTTATAGTCTCTGCTCCCAGCATGATGCCAAGCACAAAGTAGGTGCTCAGTATTTGTCAAATGAATAAAGGAAGCTGGTAAGGGAGGCTGCATGGTGGTGAGGTTTTGAAGGATAAGTAGGACTTTTCCCAGGGAGAGTGGGCAAGAGCATCCCAAGCCAAGGGGCTGCATGTACCCATGGTATGTGGGTTGGTGCCTAAGAAGCTCCCCAGGAGATCTCTGCCAACTGAGCCCACCCCCCTCCCCTATTCTAGGTCCAGATCCTGCACCTGCTACTTTGTCGCTCCTTCCAGCTCGCTTACCTCTTGCAGCACCCTGAGGAGAGGGCACAGCCTGAGCCCTGCCCAGGGCCTGGAGGGGACATGCCCCCGAAGCCACTGTCCAGTCCCGGGGGCCCCTCTGGCCTGGTGTGGGAGCCCTTCGGCCGTGATCAGCTCTCTCAGAATGTCCATGCACTGGTCTCCTTCCGGCGGCTGCGAGCAGAGGGGCCAATGGGCAGTGGGGTATGCAGCATCCCAGGCAGAGAATGGGCAGCAGACAAGGGAATTGGGCAAGGGTTTGGGGGTCATGGTGGGGCAGTGGACTTCATTGGGAGGGGGACTTCGCCTGGCCTGACAAGGCTGGGACTGAATCTGCCTGCCCATGGGCCCTTCTTGGTACCCTAGAAGGAGTTGCCAGAGTTGGAAGGCCGTGGGGGCGCCCGTGGTGCTCGCCTGGGCAATCCCTACTGCTCGCCCACACTGGTGCGCAAGAAGGCCATTCGCAGCAAGGTGATCCGTTCGGGGGCCTACCGAGGCTGCACCTATGAGACTCAGCTGCAGCTGTTGGCTCGGGAGGCCTGTGAGTTGTAGGAGCATGACTGCCTGTGTGCACCTGGGGCACATGCCTGTGTGTACCTGTGCAGTCAGAGAGGGTGGGCATGAGTGTATGTTCCTGCAGGGCTGTGGCAACTGCTCCGAGTAGGTGCCTGGGCATGAGTGTGTATGCATCTGTGTCTGTGGGCATGAGTGCATCCAGGTGTGTGCCTGAGGGCTTGCATAGGTGACCACATAGCTTTGTGTGGACTTTCACTGGTGAGTGGCTGGCTGTGACTGGGGGTGCTGTGCAAATGTGTCTGTTGGGGTCTGGGTGTGGGCCTATTGGGCGAGGAGGGGAAGCTTGGTAAGGAGACAAACCTGGGGTTGATGGGGCCTGTGGCAGCAGGGCTGGCTGGGCATGGGCAGGTTTAGCCACTCCTCTGACTCCTGGATGGTCTCCATAGTTCCCGCGGCATGGGAGGCCTGGCCTTGGGGCCCTGGTGGCCCCTTGTGCCTGGTGGAGAGTGAGGGCAGCCTGACGGAGAACATCTGGGCCTTTGCTGGCATCTCCAGGTAGGAGGGGCCTGGCCCGATGCCCAGTCCCTTGGGGCGGGCAGGGAAATGGGCTTTGGGCTTCCCCAGGGCCCTGACATGAGCACACTCCTGTGTGTGGGCAGACCACTCCCAGCCTCGGTGACCTCAGGCCTGGGCCTTCACCACCCTGGGCCTCAGTTTTCTCAAATGTAAAATGGGGATAATGAAAAGATCTTCATCCCAGGCCGTGGAGGTGATCAGTGGGGTCATTCAGGTAAAGCCCTCAGCACCTGGCCTGGCACAGGGCTAGAGCTCCCTAACAGCTCTTTAAACCTCTCTCCTGACGGGGTCTTAAAACTGTTAGCAATTAAGGACCCCTTGGAAACCTTTTAAGCTTCTGAAAGCTTCCTTTGAGCGGCTACTCCAGGCCAGGCACTGTGTTTTTAAGGGCATTTAATCCTCAGGCTGGACCGTAAATCCAAAGCAACCTGAGGAGGGTCCAGACTAGGGGTCCTGCCTTCAGCCTGTCCCTTTTGTGCCCCTAGGCCCTGTGCCCTCACCCTGCTGCGGAGAGATGTGCTCGGGGCCTTCCTGCTGTGGCCCGAGCCGGGCGCCAGCGGCCAGTGGTGCCTGTCAGTGCGGACGCCCTGCGGCGTGGTGCCCCACCAGGTCTTCCGGACCCACCTGGGCCGCTACTGCCTGGAGGTGAGTGCCCACGGCCTGAGTCCCTGGCCCCGCCCCGCCGCCGGCCCTGTCCCTTTCCGAAGTCCTGAGCTGGCCTCACCCTCATCTCGGTCCCTCATTGTCCCTGGCCCCGCCCCTTGTCCTACTCTCAATCCCTCCTCCACTGCCCCACTCCTTGCTCGTTGGCCCTGTTGGCCTCGCCTCTGCTTTTCTCTGCTGGCTGCACCCTGGCCTAAAGGCTCTAGAAGGACAAGGTTCCTGGTGACCAAGGGTCCCCCTTTCCAGAGAGGGCTTTCAGAGGGTACCTGTAGTAGAGTCTTGGGGTGGTCACACCTCACATTTCTACAGGGATCCTAGCTTTTAAAAGCCTTGCTTTCCCACCCCTAGCAGAGGAGGAAATTTAACCCAGAGAGGGCAGGGGCTGGCCTGAGCTCACACAGCCTCTGAGTGTATGGTCTGGAGTCTTGTCCTGCCCATGAGTTTCCAGGGACTGGGATGGGGTGGTGAGGCTTTTCACATGTGCGCCCTTACTCCTGAGCTGAACGCCTCAGTCCTGCCCAGGCTGGGAAGACAGAGAGAGGAAATGGTCATCAGCTCTGTGTAACAGCACGTGACCTCTCTGAACTCTATTTCCTGCTCTCTAAAATGGACAGACTGCTGTGGAAAGGGGTGTCTGGTGTCTGGCATGTGCCAGGGGGATGGGGACTGGAGCTGAAGCCTCTGCCTCCCCTAGCACCTGCCGGCAGAGTTCCCCAGCCTGGAGGCCCTGGTAGAGAACCATGCTGGCACCGAGCGCAGCCTCTTCTGCCCCCTCGACATGGGCCGCTTGAACCCTGCCTACGAGGAGCAAGACCGTGGGCCCGAAGGCAGGCTGCCCCGGACTCTGCGGCCCCTCAGCCATGCCAAGTCAGAAGCAGAACTTCAAGGCCTGGGCTAGGAGGCCAGGCCCCACACCCACAGGCCTGGTCTTGTCCTGGCTCCTGGGCCTCAGCGGCTGCTCTGCCCTTCATACACCCTGCTGGTCACCAGTTCCATCCAGTCACTGCCCTTGGACCAGTCTTCCATTGCTTCACTGTCTGTGGGAGGGGAGCCCTGAGATTGGAGATTGCCAGTGGCTTCTCACAGGACATGTAGGCCACTGAGATTCCAGGAGGGGCAGGCAAAGATTCAGGCTTCCAGTAACTTGCTGGGTGACTTTGGTTGCTTGTCATTTCCAGGCTTCCACTTCATTCCCAGGATGGGAGCTTTCCGAGGTGGTTGGGGAGGTTTGTTCATGATGGAGGTGCAGCCCTCTCCTAAGGAAGCCAGGCCTTGGGGCCCTAGCTGGGAGTCTCCAGAGAGCTCCTGACAGAGGAAACCAGTTTGGGGAGGCAGGAGTGAGTGCTCACTTTGGGCCAAGATAGGGGGTGTGCCCCCCTCTCTGTGAGAAAGCAGAGGTGACTGGCGCTTGTCGGCTGGGAGACTGGGCCCAGCTACACCCAGGTTGACTGACAGGATGTGGCCTGTTTCTCATGCATCTGAGGTGAAGGAGTCTTCCCTTGAGTTCTGGGGAGTGGGAGCTTAGGAAGGTACAGAAAGGGCAGATGGACTAAGAGTCGTGCCAGCCAAAGCCCACGCAAGGGTGGATACCAGTGTGCAGGAAGGGACGTGGACCCAGCAGGTGGGGCAAAGAATCCCAGTGTATTGCCTGGGAAGGCTGGGTAGTCTCCGCCTAGAACCACAGGGTTGTGATCCCTGCTTTCTCAGAAGGGATGCCCCCGTGTCATCCTGTCCCCCACACCCCAGTGCTCAGTTCTTTTAGCCATTCTACTGGGAGGGGCCAGGAGTGAACCACAGGCTTAGAGAGATGACCAGAGCCCTGCCCAACTCACCCTGCAGACCGCGGTCAGTTTGGTGGCCATTTTGGGAAGCTGCCTGATGCTGGCATTTCCCATAACTTGGCACTGACCATGGTCGTCAGGGGCTACCACATCTTGCCAAGCCAGCCCCGTTGGGGATGGAGTCAGAGCACAGCCATGCAAGGTAGAACTCGTGGGGGCCCAGCCAGTGGGAGCTTGGCCTCAGTGGGCAGTGGGAGATCCAGGGAAACGATTCTAGTCTAAAGCAATGGCCCTGCTGACAAACCCAAGTATCCCCTTTGTAAGTAAACTTGATGGACAAATATGCATCTACTGAATCGAGTTATGGAACAAGTTCATTTTGGATGAACTAATGTTTCTGAGGCAGGGACCTAGTCGTGAGTCTGGGGCTGCCCTCTCCTCCATCTGGGAGTGGGATGCAACTGTTCAGTGCCTTGAAAGTAACAGATTTCTTTTCTTTCTTTCTTTTTTTTTAAAAAGATGACCGGTAAGGGGATCTTAACCCTTGACTTGGTGTTGTCAGCACCACGCTCAGCCAGTGAGCAAACCAGCCATCCCTATATGGGATCCGAACCCGGGGCCTTGGTGCCATCAGCACCGCACTCTCCCGAGTGAGCCACGGGCCGGCCCAAAAGTAACAGATTTCTGACTCCTGGAAAGAGGAGGGCAGCCTCAACAATAGGAAGAAGGGAGGCACAGTCGGAGATTGACAAGCAGCCTACCCCAGGCTCAGGCCTGCTGTTCCCAGCTTCCAGCCCCAACTCAGCACGTGATCTGGCCTAACGATCTTGTCACTTTCTTGCAAGTGAGATGTCTGATTGTAAGGGATAGCGAGAAGCTGTCCTTTGGGGACTCTTTTCACTGCAAACACAACACTGATTTTACACTGAACGTGAATGGGAAGCTGGGGTCCATTTTACAGCCATCTGCTGGAACCATCCCCTTCCTGGACAAAGCCCTGGTCTCTGGTGGGAGGCACCAGTCTCACATTCCCCTGGCAAGGAGAGGGATTAGTGCTATCCTGTGACTAGGATTACAGAGACATGCATTTCAGGAGACTGGGTAATTGGCCCAGGCTTGGACCAAGGCTGACCTCTACAAAGGATGGGTTTTGTTGTGTGAATTGTCTGCATGAATAAGGTATCAGGGGAATGTCCTGCACACTGGAGGGACCAGCCTTCCCCAGCCACTCTAACATTCCTCCAAACAGCTCTGTTGATCATGTGTTATGAATGGGGCAAGGTTTTTGGCCCGTGTGTGCAGACTCTTTAATGTCTTATAGGCCACAGTTTTCTCTTTGTTCCAACCAGCACCACCTGGGTAGCCCAGCTCTCCTTTCTGTGTGGACTTGAAACAAATAAAATGCATTTCTTCAGATTGTCTAGTACAGACTTTTCCTTTGAAAGGGAAGATTTTTATCCAGATTACCTGTTTTGTTTTTGTTTGCCAGACAAATACCTTCAGTTGGTGCTAAACGGTGAGCCAGACAGAAGTCCTGTCCTCAAGGGTTCAGAATGTCCTGCCCTCAAGGGCGCAAGGAATGGGGTGGGTTGATTTAATCAAATCATGTCCCTCTCCTGCTTTAAATCCTCAGTGGATATTTCCTATAGGAAAAAGACTCAAATCCTCATGCTCTGGCAACTCGGGCTTGCTTTCTGCTCCTTCAGCATGCCACGGCCTTTGCACAGCCTGGACAGATTTCCTTGTCCTCCTCCCCTCCCTCCATCTGGTTAACTCCTCAACCATCATATGTCAGCTTCAGTCTCAGGAGGCAGGTCATGACCCCTTGGGTTGAGTGAGGTTCCTCTTTTAGGTGTTCTATAGAACTGGCTCTTTATACTGTGACTAATCTTTCATTTACAAGGTTTTGTTTGTGGTACTTTTGTTTCCAGTGTCAGTCTCCCCTGCTAGACTATGGGCTCCAGGAGGGCTGTCTCCCCAGCATCTGTCACAGTACCTGGCATTTAGCCGACAGTTTCTGTGCAAAGGGGCGTCTAGAGGAGGCGTCACCGAGCCGCTCTTCTGGCTGGGAGGACTTGTGCTGAGCCTGTAGGGATAGGCCAGACGGTCTCTCCAGCCAAAAGACTTTGGCTCCTAAAGGTTTTGTTTCAAAATCTTTAAAAACGTGGATGGCATCAGAGGAAGCTTCACTCTGTGCAGGCGACTGTGGGCTCTGGGCAGCCTTCCCTTGGGTCAATACAGGATGTCGATAAAGGAGACAGCAAGGTCCTTGTCGCCTTTCTCCGTACGTCTCCAACCCTTGAGTACGCTCCCTCTTCCGCCCGTTGGGTCTCTCTAGCTCGGAGGTGGAGTGGAGCCCGAGCACCCCTTCTTAGCTGTGAGACCTCGGGCAGGTTGCTTAACCTCTCTGAACGGCGGCTGTGAGGACTAGGAAAGCTATCGCACGTGAACGCTCCTGGCACGGAGCAAAGCCGGTTCCGGGGCTCCCCGGAGGCCGCCCACGCGCGCCAGCCTCCAGCGCGGGGATCTCCCTGGCCGGGTGCCCGGAACGCGCGGACGTCCGCCGGAGCCGCCCCTGTGACGCCACGGGCGTTGCCCAGCAACGGCGAACGCCGCGGCCGCGTGCGTGC